GAAACTGACAATTACAAGAGAATCAAAAGCCAATGTCATGGATATATTGTGCTTAAATTTGAAAATACCAATGTACATAATGCACAATGTATTATTCCTGACTATTACCTAATTTAGCAGCTTTGATATTCATATGCCTTCCATACTTTTGTTTAGCACATAGTGTAGTTTGAAAGACCATGAAGACGGTAGTGGCGATACCTGTGGGCTACGTGCCATACTCAGCTGCTTGAAACTTCTTGAGTAGCTGTTCGACCAGGGTAATGGTCTAAGAGAACAGAGACTTTTACAGTCACAGGAATCATCCTCACTACAGAGCTTCAGCTTTTCAATATCTGTCTGAGAAGAAAGCTTGCCTAAGTTACATAGTTAAAAATCTCCATAAAATGCATGATTTAAGAGTGAAAGGGTTAACAAGAAAATCAGTATCTGTTCATGTGAAAAAGCTAAGTACTGAAAATACTTTTACGTAGACATGACTTCCATAGTGACAGTGTTACAAGCAGCATCTACATTAGCACTTGCAGACTTGATTCACTTTCTTTAATAACTTACAATGCAAAATACCTTATTTTCACGTGTCAAGGATAGGTACTTAATAGCAGCATTATGCCAGCAGTGACTGCAGAAGTAATTATCAAGTCGTTCAGAAACAAAGAACTGGCTCAGGCAACTCCCCAAGGAGCATCCGGTCATCTGGAAGTTTGTGGGGAAAAAAAAATGGCCAGCATGATGACACCAAATAGAGAATCCAGAAGAATTTGCAGCAAAACACTTTGTATTTTACAAACTTACAATTGTACCACCACTACTGAGCACCGGCGAGAGGTGTAAGCTATGAAATAATTGGAAATCCAGAGAGATCTACAGAGCACGCAAAATGTTTATGCTATAAGCAAAATCAGGTTTATTGCAGAGCATGTAGGAAAGGAAGCTGATAAGAAATTAAAGGAACTACAAGTTTGGTTCAAATAAGTGAAAAGAAGAAACTCATATTCATCTTTAAACAATGAATAGACAGGAGAAAATAAATATGATGCAGTTCTTGCTTTTCAGCTCCTCATATGTTCCAAATAAATCCAATTCCAATTGTAAGACAAACACATGCACTTAAGCTTGGACAGCTGCTTGAAAGCAGTGACCATTAAAGATTAGTAGCAGTATCAAAATGAGAAATAGTGTCACAAGTACCATTCAACCTGAAACGAACAACTCTGACAGGTCAAGATGCTGCCAAGGATCCCATCAAAAGGTCCAAGGAAACTACGCCGCCATCTTTGCTGTTCAGATTCCCTTAGCCTCTTTCTTGGAGCAAGAATTCTGGAATTATTGAGTACAGTTGCGTCAGCCAAGGAGCTGGTCCAGTGAACATAAGATTCTGACAATTCTTCCCTCAAAGAAGCGAGAAGATGAAAGAATGCTTCCTCTGCATCCTACACATAGAACAGCTTGACCATTTAGCAGATAAAAAGTAACCCTAGCACAACCTATTCCAGTACTGATTATTCAATAGCCCACCTGCTGGCTAGTTAAGCTGAAACTTGGCATGTAAGTCTCCATCGCAACCATCACCTTTCGCGGGCTTCGTACAGATCTCACATATTGAACCATACATAGTTCTGCAGGATACAATTAAACACATAAACTTGCCATCAAAAACTGAAAAAAACAACCACTATTAATGAGACCCACAAGGTAAGCTGAAAGCTGCTTATAATTTAACACATCCAAGTTGGAGAAATACTCTCTCTACTAATTTATTCACTTCTTGGTGCTGATGTTGCTATATCGTAAACCAGTGCAGATTTGAGGATTACAGAATAAAGTTACATCAGATTACCTCAGGTACAAAACAATGAAGGACTTAAACATCAAGTTGCCACAAAATGCAAATTCCCTAACGGATAGACATGACTCTTCCCAATGTGACAAAACAGCCATTTGAATGCAATTTCTGGCATGAATAAAGAGGCATATCCTTAGCTAGTTAGACTAGAAAATTGCCACAATTTTCTAGCCTGCCCAATAACAAATCGTATTCATATTTGCAGCAACACGGATCATAAAGCGCTCGTTAACAACCATTTATTATTATTAAAATAACTTTCAGAGCATTCCTTCAATGAAAACTATACAAAGCAATTAAGCAAGACCAACTGAGTTCATATCCAATTATTAATTGCCATAATTAGTCATTGTCCAAAGGCATAAATGGGCAGGCATGCTCATTCATTTAGCATGGAATTACCCAAATTCAAAGCAATTTCCATTTATACACAAGTTCTACACAAACCTTCCAGCAGGGATGCCACAGCAGCAGTAAGAGGCAATGCTTTAGCACTCTCTTCTACTGATGGAAACTTATATTTCTCAAAGACGATGTCGAGGAATCTTTGAAAACTCGAACAACTAGCCAAAGCCTACGAATAAAGGTAGGCATAAGACGAAATACTCAAAAAGAAACAAAAAAAATGTGTACTAAAGCCCCCAATATATATTCCAACTTAATACCAACAACATGCAATCTTTAATAACTTAGCAGATGAAAAACCAACGTTAAATTTGAAACAAGAAGGAACCAACTCAAAATTCCAAAAGCATTCAATAAGCTCAAAAACAAACAACCCAATGAAGTGTGTATTAATTATAAAAAGACAATTATAAATTTGATCTATGTGAAGAATAGATTAAAGAAATCTTAATCAAAGACTTTGAAATCCGAATATAACCCAATTTATGTAAGAACTAGATGACCATGCTAGGCCAAAGCTAAAAAAGTTCCCAACTTTACTATAAGTCGGCATAAAATTAGCTCAGAAACAAACATCCATTGAGGTAAAGCCACAAAAAATAAAATAGAATAAAAACAAGAGCCAAGTCATGAATATGAATATACCTGCAAAACAACATTCAAGAAACAATTGTTTCCAAGGTTTTGCAATCCGGGCACAACCCAATGTTTGTCAGAACTAACAAGTCCATCAGATGATGACCATGGTAGACCAAAGTTGATAAAGCTTCCAACTTTACCATCTTTGATAGCCAAGATCAAGCCAGTAGCACCCAAAAGGCTTGCAGCCACTGATATGTGAAGCCCGGTTGGTGAACTCCAGTTCACTTGGGGCAAAAATTTGGCTCCAAATTTCAATTTTTCTACAAGGGACTGAATATCTATTCTTCCTTGAATTTTCATGGCTCATAGACAAAAATTACCTATCCCAATTGTCAAGTACTTCTGTATCTCTTCGTCGGTACTATGGGGAATCTATCGCGCCTTCGTTGGCACTCGTTCTTTCCATTATTTACCGATTGCCCCAAAAATATGGGAATTGGCAATTTGACTGCTTTTTTCACCTTTTGCAATTTGACTGCTATGGTGCTGTATTATATGGTTCATGCTAATTTGAAGCTCTAAATTATACACTTGTTTTTTCCAGTTCTAATAAAGTTCTTTATAATTTTGCTTTTTGTATGAGAGTGTGTAATTTCAAATTTTTTATGCTAATTTTTTCAATATGTCCACTAATAATTGCCACCTTCACACTTGATCTTATGTTACTCTACTAAATTATCAGTTACGAACTTAACATCAAGTTAATAGGAACAATAATCTTACAATAAATTTTTAGGTTTGTAGCAATTGTTCCTTGCAATAATAACTTATAATTGTCAAAAAGAAAGGAAAAAAAAAACTATATCATTCATTAGAAATGTATATGTTTTTTTTTTAACGTTGTAAATAGGGTTTGGCAATTGTATCCTGGTTGAATTGTATAAATTGATGCTTAATTAAAATGCTTGGTTTGTGATATATAATGTGTGATGTTCTTTTTATATTTCATAAAGAATTCTCACTTATGAGGATATGTGCATATAGTTTTGTGATTCAAATGGTATGCATTATAAAAGAGATGCAAATTAATATATGTTCATGTTGTTTTCTTACAATTGAGATTATCTATTCATATTAGAGAAACATAACTGTTTGTTTGTGGTGTAATCTGGATTTTACATTTATAACCTAATGAAACTGCATAATTGACTATTTTTGTTAGTTAGGTTAATTATTTATATATATTTTACATTTTGTAACCCCAATGAAAATGCATGACAAATTTTGTATGGGTTAGGTTCAATTTTTTTTTTTAACAACCTTAAGGTCATCAACATAGTTTCAAGTATTAAATTTTCAAAAATATAAACACTGCAATTTTTTCTTTAAAAAATATTAGATATATATATTGTTAGTAATATGAGAAAATTTAAATTAAGTATAAGTAAAATGTTCAATTACATGGAGTAATATATTACAAAGATCAGGGTTAGTTATGACAATTAATAACGTTAAATAAATTAAAGGGCGTATTCACAAGGAGAAGGTATAATTTTACAAAACTCTATTTTTTGGAAAATTGGCATGAATTAGTTAGATTTGCAAATTGTCTTATAGTTTTCCTATTCTAATAACAAAAGACACCCATAAAATTCAGTTAAATGAATTTTCTTCCCTCAATGTCCTAAAATACCTATTTGTTATTTGAAAAACTATATCATCTACTCTCTTTCTCTCTCTTTTTCTACCCCCTGTAAGTCTTCTCCTTTAGCAATGCCTCAATAAGCCAATGGCCTAAATCTAAAATTTTTTGTAATTAATAATATTAACAATCACCATATAATAATATTGATTCAAATTTCTTTTTTTTGTGTTCTTGATTTATTTTGCAGTACCAGTGGAGGTAAGTGTAATTATCGAAATATATAGGTACCTGTACTGACAATAATTATCAAAGTACCCTAGGAAATATTTTGGTCCTCATGAAATAATTTGGGCCCTTGGGAGGAGGGCTACAACAAGAAGTTTAAAACCCAACCACATCAACAGAATTCACTTTGGGCCCAATCAGAGACCCTGAAGAGTCTAGATTGTTCGGGAACTGTAATCCATATCTCAGCCGTCCATTTTCCGTAAAACCCTAAACCCATCCCGGAACCAATATAAACCCTAGACTCCTTTTCTTCTATATAACTCTCCCAAAACCCTGTTGTTGCCTTCATTGGTAGTTCTCCCCAAGTCCGCCGCAGAATTACTTCCGATTCATTTCTGAGCTCGTTCTTTTCTGATGATTTCTGGTTCTGGATTGAATTCTACTCCGGTAGCTTGATCATTTTGTTCGTTGGTTTTTTAGTTTTTCCGTTGAAAGGTTGAAAATTTTGATGGTGTTTTTGCTAATTTTACTCCGCGGAATCAGCATCTCCAATTCACTTGCGAGATTTTTTTTTTTGGTCTCATTAGTGGTTGGATCTGGGTCTAATTCTACTCTGGTAGCTTGAGTTTTTTAGTTTCTGATGCTTTGTGATTGAAAAGTTGAAAACTTTGATTGTATTCTGCTATTCCGATTTCATTGTTTTTTATTAGATTTTTTGCACGAATTTCTCGTTATTTATAAAATTTCTAGGTGTCTAAGATGACACAAAAAGGCTCGAGAGCTTTCGCCTACGCCAGGCTTGAAAGCTTATGCTGCCTTTTTATTCTAATTTCTATCTGAGGCACCCCCTCCATACCTCCATTATTACTACTTTTTTTCAAAAAACTTTAACGTGTAAGGATAAATGCTACAGGCATGTATGTTTATAAATTTAGGAGGGACTATTAACGTTGGCCCTTTAGCATTGGATTGAATTATTGCTTCAGGGATTTAGAAGTTCCTGATATGCAATTTCATCCATCCAATCACTTTGTCAGCAATACCATATGTTTTGCTGGTCATTCAAGGATGGAATACCAAAACTATTGGTTCTGTTTTTGTTTTGGATATGTTTTGCTAAATTGGAAATTAGCAGTGATGACAAAATCTAAGGCTTGTTTCTCAAAACATTCGCAGTGGCCGCCTAAGAGCTTTCGCCTTCGCCTTCGCCGGGCTTGAGAGCTTGTGCTGCTTCTATCCTTCCTTGGATGTCTGAGCGTTTACTCTTTCTTCGTTCTTTCTTTTCTAATTCTTGGCTTTTTTTTTTCTTTTCTGTTCCTTGGTTTAAGTTTTGAAGTCTGTTCTTGTTTCTGGTTTAGGATAGGATCAATGATTTGAGTTTCAGTTGTATGAGTTATAACATTTGGTTTATGATGACAAATCCAAAGGCTTGTTTCTCAAAACATTCGCAGTGGCCGCCTAAGAGCTTTCGTCTTCGCCAGGCTTGAGAGCTTATGCTGCTTTTATCCTTCCTTGGATGTCTGAAACATTTATTTATTATCATTCAGTGTGTTTTTTGTGCTGTGGTATGTTCAAGATGTACACCTTCTGTTGGAGAAGGTTAGAAGATTACTTTGGGCTTGTCAGTTGCCAATTAGGCTTTAAGGTCTTTATTTGGACCATGTTGCAGTTTTAAATTTGTAGTGATGCTTGTTTCAACCATTGTTGAGCTAACACCGAGAATTGTGTTGTAGAATTATGTCCCTCTGTTAGCAACGACAGTGAATTTTAATTGATTATGAAGTTGCATTTAGGACATGGGTGTGAGTTTGCAGTAGCTATCAACTACTAAATTGGTTACATTCTTGTAGGGGCTTTGGATTTTGGGACTTTTGATGTCTGCCCCTTTTGCATCAATTTGGGTTGCTTTTGGGATGAACAAGTCCATTATATACAATTATTCATCCTATACTTAATCTGCACTTCTTTTGATGTTTCACTGATTATGCAGTGATGGAACAATTTTTTTAGCTCTTGGAATGTGACTGTGTTTCTCGCATGATATGTTTGGTCACCATCTTTGTGTTATGTTTCATTAGTTGTTTCTTGATGCCTCGTCCCAATTTTTATTTTTTCATCTAGTTAGCATACTTTTGTATTGTTGCAGTTATTAATTTTTGGTTCATGATGACAAATGCAAAGGCTTGTTTCTCAAAACATTCGCAGTGGCCGCCTAAGAGCTTTCGCCTTTGCCGGGCTTGAGAGCTTATGCTGCTTCTATCCTTCCTTGGATGTCTGAAGCCATCTCCTACTATTGCTTTGAATTGATCTTGTTTAATTTTGTGTGTTCTTTTATTTGATTTATTCTTTTTGCCCTGCAGTTACTTGATAGATGGAACATTGCATGGTTTTATCTGATTAGGTAATTTATCTGTTGTGTTTTTGCTTGCCTGTCTTCTCTTCCTTAAATATTGATGTACAAGTCCTTGAGAGATTTTTTTGCTTCACGCGAGCAAGTTGGTTGAAGAGAGGCCCACTTACAGTGTGTCAGTGGATAGGATAGATAATTTTTACTTTGTACTTTCATTAATTTTGGTCCTCTGAATTAGTGTTTCAAGATAGGATGAATTAGTTGCCTATGAAATTGCAACCTTTGCGTGTTTAGGACTATGAAACATGGAAGAACTGTTATCTGGGACTTCCAACGTCTGCCCCTTTGGCATGTATCTGGGTTGCTTTTGGGATGAACAAGTCCCTTACATCCAATCATCATTCATCCTATACTTAATCTGCATTGCTGGTATATGTTTTGCTGATTATACGGGGATGAAACAAAATTTTCCTTCTTGGTGTTGTACTTTTTTGTTGCTTGGTACTATTCTTTTTTCTAATTGTTGTTAGGGATTTAATGCTGTTGAGAACTTTGAAAACTTATAAACGAGAAATGGGAAAAGCGAGTTCTGTTTGCTTCCTGATGTTTATTTGATAGTGGCTCTTTAATGACGATTCTTTGTATTGGGGCGAGCTGCTGTTGTGCTTGTAAAACCCACGAGTTTTTCAATAATCGTCAGACATAAAGCACTTGTTTTTGTGGTTGAGGCTTCTAATGAAGAATCCCACTGTGATGAGTTGCGATCTCATATCCTATCGCCTTGTGCAGCAGAGTCTCTGCTATGACCTCTTGGGATTGGCCATGAGAAATACATTCAACACACACACACACACCGACACATTTATTACAGGTTTATCAAAGTTCAAACAGAAAATATGCCTATGATGAGATCTATACCAAAAATACCATCTTTCGGGACTGAATGGCTTGTTCATAGCCTTGCTGTCATTCTGCAATTCTGAGGCATTCTATCTTATTGATAGCCCACTTAAGTATTTTAATTCACGTATTTGATTAGATTATCCCATTATCTCAACGGCCTGACCATTTTTGCTTTGAAAACTTTGTTGCAAAAGTTTGTTGGTTAGTAAAGAATTTAAGATCAAATATTTTTCTATACCTATAGTGATTCCACTACAGCTAATTCAGTGCTTATGGACGGTCCGGTGCTGTTTAGTTTTTGCACAACAGCACTTAACATAATCATAAGCTAAATTTAGTTTGGCCACCTTTTCTTTCAGGCCTCTTTCTCAATTTAACCTAGAAGAGGCTATCCTGTAGTGGCTGATATCTCATATGTAAATTATGAAAATGTACATGGATTAATACTGTTCATTCAATGTGCTGAATATGGGTTCTGCTTTCAGTTTGTGATAATTCTATGATTTCGAATTGCAGGTCTTTGATTTTGCTGTGAAGGATATTTTAGTTTATTGTTTTGCCCCCATTCACCTGATGATTTGACAGGTTCAAGTAAATCATCTGGAGAACCGACCCACACAAAAGCTACAAGCGTGTATTACATCAATTTAGATATAGTACTATTGGTGTCATTATAGCAAGCGATCAAGGCCCAATAGATCTTAGAAAATATTTCTGCCAAATATATATTCTATCATCCAAGAAATTGAATGATTCCTTATTTCTTCTGACTTTGAAATGAAAGTATCGATAGATACTGTCAAGGGGCGAGTGGATGTCCTTCAGGCTGTTCCTACCAGTTAGAAGGTTTAAGGTTTAATGGATGCATAATGTGTCAGGATTGTATCTGTAAATCGCAGTATCGAATCAACTTTGATGTACTGTGTTGATTTAATTTTGAGTTTGACAGAGTAATAGTGGTACCAAATTTGCCCGGATCTTTCTATGCATTGTGCTGTATTTTGTTTTCTTCTCCTGGTCGTATTGATCACATTAAGAGCATTTCCATTATAGATCAATTATTTTTTTCGTAGTCAATTAGAGGATTCGACAAAGATGTAGTACACATAATGGAAGGGACCCTGAGTACTGGTTATACTGTTTCATTTTCCGATGGTTATATATTCGTCCAGAGATTTGTTCTATTGAAGCTCAATATGCTCGCAAGAAGCTTGAGGTGGCTAATTGAGCTGTTTCAGGGACTTGTGAATGTCTTGCCCTTGAGCGTGAAATCAAATTGCTCGAGGGAATAAAAGGAGTCCCTTACATGAAGATCCAACCCTTTGCTTGGTCAGCAATCCTTCTTGACATTATGCTTTGTTGACCACTCAGGGATGGAACAATTCCTGGTTCTTCTGTCCTTTTTCCCTCTCCTGTATTGGATATGTATGCTTTAAAACTTTTATGTTCACTTGTGATGGGTTAGTTTTCATAATCGTCAACAATGGAAGCCCATTAATATATAATTTGTTTTTGGAGAAATCTCGCTTTGGCCAATTAATAATAGCTTTCAATTTTTGCTGGATAATTTGAGCAATTACATCATGGCAACTTATTTCTTTTTTCATCCAAATTTGCATGTCATAACAGAAATTGGATACCATATGCAAAAAAAATAATGATTCAAAAAAGTCCAAAAAGTGTACCATAGAGAATTTATGCGAAGGGAAGAAGTGGCTACTTGCAAGAAACAAGAGAGTTTTTTGGAAATCATATGGATAATTATGACAGAATTAGCTATGAAAGCATATGAAAGAATTAGCTAGATATGGATAATTTTGGAAACGTCAAGTGAATGCTACGTAATTGATTAATGGTACTGTATAAATTTTTTTTTGAGAACCTGTAGCAATATCAAAAAAGTCTTTATTGTCAATTTCAACAAAATGAAGAGGAAGCTGTAATTTATTTAATACCGAGTACAAAAAGAAAATGGTTTAAAAAAACACTTTTCAATGTCAGTAATGTGTTGAATTTTTCATCTCAACTCATTTTTGGCTATTTAATTTACCACTTGGAAAAAAAATGTGGTAATAACCAATTTTAGATCAATTAGGCATCTGAATTCTCATTTCATGTGTAGAATTTGTGTTAAATCCCAATAAACTATAGAAAGAGCAATTCTTTCTGAATAAATCATGTCTTCTTTGGATCATAAAATTTCCCCACATTAGAGAGAGAGAGAGAGTAAGATCTTTTAGCCCTATCATTTTTTTTACATCAAATGTGAGATTCACAAAATTTTATTCTATCATTACACGTTTTGAGTGAATTACATCGTATGCAGTTGAGTTACATCTTGTACAATATACATAAAATTGATTCGAACGATTTCTCCTTCCTGTCTCAAATCCTAATTCTATCAATATGAACTCATTCAATCCTATATATGAGAATTCAATAGAAAAAAAAAACAGTTTAGATGATTAGTAAGAAAAATGAATAAAGTTTTAAAGGTTAAAAAAAAATCCTTACTTTTGAATTTTCAGAGCGTATCATTGCTACGGCGAACAACCTTCAAATTGAAGAAATGATGTTCTTCTTTTGACCCCATAAATGTGAAAGAAAAAAAATAATAAATAAAGCAAAAGCAAAAGTGAGCAAAGAAAAGAAAAGCCACTCGATGACACAAATACGGAGCATGCAAGAGCAAGACCAATAGCCATCATGAAATCCACAGCACTTGAACCCACATTCCGCCATCCTGACGCGAATTTTCATGCAAGAATAAGGTCAGCAAAACCAAAAAGCCAAAACAACCGAATTCCCATATCCTAAATAAAGCTAAGCATTCTCCTTCTGGAGTAAACAGTTGTCAAACAAATTCATTCCTCATGGCCCAGCCAGTGTACAAGGTTTGGAAAGGAAGAAACGTAAGTAATATAAAATTTTTGTTTTTTTTTTAATTTTGATGTTTTTAATATAATGTGATTGTCATTTGCTTATATGCGTTGTGATTAAATCACCAAAATATGATCTGGGGTTGTGCTATTTTTGAGGTTTTGATTTTTTGGTCGATTTTTTGGTCGATTTATTGGTGAATTTTTGTTTGTTTCTAAGTAGCTTTTAGTTTTTGTAATTTGGAGTTAAGAGTGAACGTCTGTTTTTGTTTTTTGCGTGAAGTCCATTCTTTTATGCTAGTACAGTTTGCTGCTCAAAGAGATGAATGATCTAGCTAATGTTATCTGAATTTTGCTTTAAATTAGGATTAGGCTTCATATGGTTAAATGAAAGATAAGATTTATTTGCAGCAGGTTGAAAAGCTGGGAGAGGCTTTTCTTCAGTTGAGTTACTACGTGAATGAAATTAAGTTAGGGATTAGTTCTCATTGTAGTGTACCTTTAAGGATCAAAAGGTGATATGTCACTCAAATAGGGATCAAAATCAGAGATCTCGAAGATAGGGAGTACATAATCAATTTATGGTATCGGAAATTTTCATCGTTTGTCTGTTCATTGGGTTTCAATAGGAGAGGGGTAACTTATGGATGAAGGGGTCTATTCTAGAATTTGATTGAGAAGATCATTTGTTTATGAAGCAGAAAGGTTAAGGTTTTTGTTATACAAAGTAGGTGCTTTTTCCTCAACCACTTAACAAGAGGGCAAGGGCATACTAGCTAAGAAGCTAGAGGAAAAGACTGATTCACAGAAAGGGCTCTCTGATGCAAAGGATGGAATGCTTCTTGTTTCGGGAACTGGAAAATCTGAATTGCATATCTTGATTCTTTCTGAATAAATAAGGAGATATCACAAGCCTCAATGTGTTGTTTTATCTCAAAATCTTTGAAAAAACATTATGTAGGTTCAATTTCAACTGTACTGCCAACTGCTTATTAAGAATTTAGTTGCAGTGACTCAGCAAAGTTTTAGCTGAGTAATTGATTTTTCTTCCTAAAAACCTCTTGTTGCTGGATTGTCTCTCTCTTTCTAGATTGTTCCTTTGTTTTTTAATTTGTTTTAACCCTTTTTGTCCATCTATTTGCTTCTTAAGTTAAATCAAGGTGGATAAGTTGGCTAAGGTCTCTTTCACTCTTTGCCTTATAGTGTGCATGCAGCTGGGGTGGAAAACTACTGTCTTTTTCTTTTTCTTCCCCAGTTGTGGCTACTATTTTCCATTTCTGTTTTCCATTGACAGTGAATCTATGTTTTTCTACCCTCTCTGATTTCCATTCCTTTAAGACATGCTTTGGAACATCATAGACATATGTATTTGCATTATGTGTCTCTTTAAGGGTATTATTGAGATCTGGATCACCTTATTTATTGATGAACTGTTGTCTTGAAATATAGTTTAATTATATGCGTTTAAGGCTACTAGTTGGAATGCTGTCAAGCCAAATTGACAAAGCCCAGAATGACATAGTTGAGCTTATAGAATTGTTCCTTGGTTTACTTACCAAGGAATGGTTGGATTCTTTTGGGTAATGCCTCTTTATAAGCTGTCAAAAAGAAAACGAAAATGAAACAGAACGTATTCAGGTGTACCAAATTCACCAACCAAGAAAAGGAAGAATCAATTCAACCAAGCTTTGTCCAAGCTACTCATTGGCGACTCTTTTTTCTCCAATTTTGCTTGGTTAGAGAAAAGAGAAAGGAATACAAAAAACAACAAAGGACAATGAGGTTGTTACCTTTTTATTTCTAGTAACTGACAGATAGAATTGTTGAATAAACAAAGATTCTAACATTATTCTTTCTTTCTTTGCTATCATATATATCCAAATTAAATTTACAGCAGATTGATCAATTTTACGTCTTAAATTCAAGATTTCTTTTTTTTTTTTGTTTGTGGTGCAGAAATTCTTACTCAATGGGAGGCTGGTATTTGGGCCAGATGCTAGCTCATTGATTGTCACCTTATTGCTTATTCTTGTCCCTGTTGTGATTTTCTGTGCATTTGTAGCAAGGAATCTCATTCATGAATTTCCAACAGAGAATGCAGGATATGCAGTGTTTGTGGCGGCAGTTGTATTCACTGTCTATGTCAGTTCTATTTATCTCATTTTGCATTGCATTTCATTATTTTCACTACAGTTAGATGTGCTGTTCCATTCTTTTTCTCTCACTGGATGTTTGAACTCTTCAAGAGTTCAGCTTTTACTCCTATCCGTTCCTTTCTGTAAGATACCTTAGAAAGAGGTAATCAGTGGAAACCTGATATGGTAAATGGAGATTGTACAGACTATCAGTTCCAAATTTAAACAAGTATGCACTGTTAGAAGTTTCAGTTGAGCTGTCCTAGTTTTTTAATTTCCAGCTGTAGATTTTAAGTGGCTTCAGCTCCCTTTCTATACATGATGGTTTTTAGCTTACTTTTCCTGCTCAAGCACTCAGTAGCTGAGACAGACAGAGACACACACACAGACACACAGAAGAAAAAAGGACATAGATGGAGATTACAGCATTGTTAACTTAACATGTCTTTATTGAGTGACATTCCATGATATTTCCAAGGTCTTTAAATGCATAACGCATTCTGATCTTGTGTGTGCTTGCATATTGGATGCTTGCTATGTACACACAAGCACATGCGCATAGAATGGGACCTGGGGGTAAAATAGTGAAAAGTAAAGTGGTGGAAAGAAGAATTGGACATTCTAAATGAAGGAAAAGATGAGATAATTATTTGTAATGGTTTTTTCTTGCAAAGCTTGAAGTTTTTTCTTGCTTAGCTTGAAGTTTTGGTGTTGTTTGATTCTTTGTCCTTTTGTGTTAATGCTGTTAGTGGTTGTAACAGGTGTTGCTGCTTCTACTTTTAACCTCAGCATGTGATCCTGGCATTGTGCCTCGTAGCCCTCATCCTCTAGAGGATTTGTCTGGCTATGATTCTTCTGCTTCTGTTGAAGTTGGTGGGAGACAAAGCTTGCAGTTACCTCGCACCAAAGAGGTCTTTGTTAATGGTCTGCCTGTGAGAGTCAAATATTGTGAAACATGCATGATTTATCGTCCTCCAAGGTGCTCTCATTGCTCGGTGTGTGATAATTGCGTGGAGAAATTTGATCATCATTGCCCTTGGGTGGGACAGTGTATTGGAAAGGTTTGTTGTTCTTGCATAGTTTTCTGCCCTATGCCTTTTTCTGATTGTTCCTCTCGCATTTGCTCCTTAG